ACAGGCACACGCACACATTTCCTTACACAGCCACGCACACATTTCCTTACACATGCTCACGCACACATTTCCTTACACAGGCTCACGCACACATTTCCTTACACAGGCACACGCACACATTTCCTTACACAGGCACACGCACACATTTTCCTTACACAGGCACACGCACACATTTCCTTACACAGGCACACGCACAGATTTCCTTACACAGGTACACGCACAGATTTCCTTACACAGGCACACGCACAGATTTCCTTACACAGGCACACGCACAGATTTTCCTTACACAGGCACACGCACACATTTCCTTACACAGGCACACGCACACATTTCCTTACACAGGCACACGCACACATTTCCTTACACAGGCACATGCACACATTTCCTTACACAGGCACATGCACACATCTTACACAGGCACGCACAGATTTCCTTACACATGCACAGCACAGATTTCCTTAACAGCACACGCACACATTTTCCTTACACAGGCACGCGCGCACATTTTCCTTACACAGGCAGACAGAACCTATCTTTGTGCGAACGTTATACTTTGTTCACGCCCCCTTTTGCGCAACCTGTACATGATTTACAACCCGATATGCCCATTGCGCTGGCATCTGCAGTCAAGATAGTATTCTGTATTCCAGATTTGATTCAGTTTTCATTAAATTTCCCTCAAGGAGTTGCTGTGCAGTTGCATTGTGCGGATGACATGCTTTTAAAAAATCCCGATCCTCATGGGCATAGAGGCGATCGCGAGTACTCCGAAGCATGTTCGTGGCGGCGGTGCCAACCGTGTAGAGGGAGCCGTGCCAACTTCTGGGTCTCGCCGCGCTCTACGTGACAGCGCTTCTGGGATCTGGGCCTCGGGTTCGGCTGAAGCGGCGCTAGTGAGACCAGGCCCATCCTGGCGCACGTGTGGAGTATACATGAAATTACATCATTATGCGTTTAGGCGACTTGTCTTTGAGGATGCGACCCGTTGCCTCCGCGCGTCTCAGGACAGCGTAACGAGCGAATGAAGGCGATTTTATGCCATTTTAACCCCCTCCCTATTCTCTCCCTCTCTTCCTGCCGGCGTCAGGAGAGGCAGGGTTGCATGATCGGGTCGAATAGCGTGCTTGTGGCGTCTTAGGAGCCCTTGGGTTTACCGATAAATATCCATGACTGATTTTCGTTTAGTATTTGTAGTGTTTCGTAGATTTAAAACTTGATTGAAGACGAGGGCAAGGCTTGGACGAATGTTTGCGTGCGCATTCCTGTATCTGTCTGTCTGCCTGCTTGCCTCCTCCTTGAATGCCATAATGTAGCTCTCATTTTTGACATGTCACATGGTGCCAACTAATATCCTAGGGAAGATGCCACTGATAATCTGCTGGAAATGGTTTTGATTTTGTGAACTGCAATGTGTCTAACTGCGGCGGTACTTTTGAGCGTTGCCGGTGCACGTTTAATGCTTTCAAAATTGCATGACGAGACCCTTCGCCATGGTGGACCTCCTCTTGTTGAGGGATTTTGACACTTGCATGCGATTCGGCTTGAGAGTGTTGCGTAATGCCTCTTCCTGGGTGGGGCCTCAGCCAATGGGCAGGGTGAGGGGGGGAGACCTGCTTCAACAGCTGATAGCGGCCCTCAACACCTGCTGTAAGATTATGTAGGAACCATTAGTGAGTTGGTGCTGTTCACGTGATCCAGAGCAGGTGTGGGCTGATCGTGTTGTGTTTACCTAGACAGGTGTCCTTTTTTTTAAAGAGTCTAACCCTGACGGGGAAGGAATGTAAGCAGAGATTCGGATAGATATTTGCAGTTTGCTTTAGGAACGTGGATAGGCAGAGTTCCTATCGTTATTAAAAAGAAGCACATTTGCGCACGGACAAGTTGTTCAGCAATCACATACGAAGATTAGAAAAATTACACAAGTCGAAGAGCAGTTCATTACGAGAACACAGCTCACGTGAATATAACCTGTATCTTGGCCAGGGAAAACGTCCAAACATTCGGACACGGCTACCACAGCTGTCAAGTTCAAGCGCACAGTGGCAAGACCAGAGTAGATGGCGCGTGCAGTGACCTTAATATGACCTATTAAGAGTAGCCCGTGTAATGGTCATGCCACTCGTATGCCAGGCGTTTTGATAAGACGGCGACGTGGTTCTTTGTCGTCGGAGATGGAAAGTGAGACTGTGCCTTTGGTATTCGGAACTTTGCGCGAAAAAACAATGCGTATTTTTTAAATTATAAAAACGGAAATGTGAAGAGGGTCAGTAATAGAATTTTCTTTAACTACTATGTACAACTGTTCATTGTATGCTTAACGTATTTTTGCTCAGACTCGTATCTACTAGTCAGACATGTACATACGAAGTTTTTTTTACGTAAATTTTGTTAATTAGGTGATATCTTCTCATGACGTCAGAGAATCATTAGATACAAGGTTGGTATAGGTGAGGATGAGTGGGGGAGGGCTGGGGCTCTTGGGTGAGGAGAGGGAGAGTGGGAGGGGGCTGCTTTGCGGAATGGCACGTGTTGCCCGCCTGGAACTCGGGGCTCGCAGCTGGCCTGGCTCTGGGACCTGGCTGTCGTCGCTAGAGGTTTGCGTTGCTGCTTGCTTGCTGGCGATGTCGTTGCTAACCTGCTAGAGATAGGATTGCCTCGTGCCTGGCGTTGCTATAGCAGACTGGGCATCGTTTGCGGATAGACGGGTGTCGTTGCACGCACGCACCCACTATCGAGCGGAACTGAAACTGGTGAGGAATCGCTGAGTCGCTAACCCTCTTAACTTCGCTGGTGGCGGAATGAGCATTTTATACAAGTATTACATTATTCGTAAACGTCAGATGGTCCGCAGAATTTCGGATTTTGTACATATATAAAATTAATCTACACGTATATCCACTTACACACGCGCACACATTCACACGTATCCTGTAAACAGACAGACGCACTTGGAAATATGCAAATAGATTATCTGCTTCAATATATTGCATCCGTCACTAGTATGGAGGGTTCCGCGTGGGGGAGGCGGACGAGTGACACGAGGGCGTGGCTATGACCTTGCACCTGGGAGAGTGGAGCTGGTTTACTCATGCTCTGGGCATTTGCTGCTCTGCTCGTTTTAACTTGCCCGGCTGCCACAGTTTTCCGCCCTCCGGCAATTGTGCCGCGATGAAATATAGTAGCCGTGCTGCGGAGCGCTGTCTGTCGGCTTCTTGCTTCCATAGCCCGGAGGAGGGGGGCAACACCGTTTTTGATCCAGGTGTTGTCGGCTGGCTCTTGGGTCCGCCGCGCTAGGAGTCCGGGCCGAAGATGCGTCCTGTCGCATCCCATGGCTTGGCATTCCTAAATGTGAGGCTCCCGTCCGGCAACACTTAAGCCACACCGATCGCGTTGCTTGAGGAAAATTAAGACTCCTTCTCTGTCCTCTCCCACACCTTGTGGCCATAACTCCATTGTGGAAGTTTGTCTTCCCTCGCTGCGTGAGGATTTCCCCACAAAAAGGGGTAGAAACAAAAGCCTGTGCGGACGTTCATATCTGGAGCTTGAGGATTCGACGGATGCCAAGAATAGAGGTTGTGCAATGCTTCTGGCCCAACGTCTCTACGCTCCCCTTCTCACTCTTCCGTGTTCACTCACGATTATTAGCTTCAAATTTGGCGAGGGGTTTATTAGAAATGCGATGACGACATCGTGGTTGTGTGCAGCAGGCCAGACAGTGCTGCTGCAGCTTTTGCTCAGCTGTGCCTTCGAGTGGGGCCGCTGGTCAGAGCGGACGTTGCTCAGCCTCTTGAGGGTTGCCCGCCATCGCTGCGGCTCCTCTCGCCTGATTCATGCTTATTCTTACCTATGGCGTGAGGTCTCGTTACGGAGTGGAGTCGGGGTCGCGTTTACGCAGTGTCCAGTGAGACTTGGCTGGGGGAGGTTCAGGAGGGGAGGGGGCTAGGGGGTGCAACACACATGGCCGTCGGTTTGCTAGACGAACAGTACCCTATTCCTCAACTTAGGATTTTTAGATTATCATCTGATGATAGACACCTAATATGCATGCTTAGACACCATACTGTAGGGGATTCGAAGTTAGTGAACAACTGATTTTGTTTTATTATTATTATCATCATCATCATTGTTGTTATCATCATCGTCATCATCATCATCGTCATCATCATCATCATCGTCATCATCATCATCGTCGTCATCAATATGATGATGATGATTATTGTTATTGTTATTGTTATTGTATTGTTATTATTATTGTTATTATTATTATTATTATTATTATTATTATTATTATTATTATTATTATTATTGAATTTTTTGTTATTATTATTGACATTTTTGTTATTCTTATTATTGCCATTTTTGTTATTATTATTATTATTGCTATTTTTGTTATTATTATAATAATAATAATGATTATTATTGTTGTTTTGTTATTGTTATTGTTATTGTTATTGATATTTTTGTCATCATTATTGTTATGGTTATTATTATTATTATTATATTATTATTATTATTATTATTATTATCATTATTATTATCATCATTATTATCATTATTATTATTATCATTATCATTATCATTATTATTATTATTACTATTAATGTTATTGTTACTAATATTGCTATAATTGTTGTTATTGTTATTCATTATTGACTTTATCTTCATCATCCATCATCATCATCAGTTATCAGTCATCATCGTGAATGTGCTATTATTTTATTTTGTTATTATTATTACTATAATTATTATTACTATTATTACAATTATCATCATCAATATTATTATTATTATTATTTTTATTATAATTATTATTATTTTCATCAATTAATATTTTTGATCATTCGTAAGTGATGTACAAAGTTGAATGCAGTTTTCCACAATAACCTCGAATTCCCAAAGGCGCAGTGTTTGATGACTCTGCCGTAGTGGTTTTGGTTAGTGACTTAGAGTTTGCTGTAGGTGTTTTGGATAACAATAACCGTAGTCTCCTGTATTATCAGAATGGGATACGCCCTATCCTCAACGGCGTGCCAACGGGGAGAGGTCGATGGATGTCCAACCGTGCGTCCCACCCAACTGACCTAGAGGTTCGACCCTGATTACATATATATCTTGTCTCCTGACACCTGCACGCACACACGCACCAACAGGCAGTTATACTAGTACATGCATTCATGTCCGCGCGCACAAAATGACACGCTTAGATGCATACACTTAATTTACTTGCACATACACAGGTATCTTGAAGATGCACAAAGACTTGACTAGTACATAAAATGACATTCACATATACTTCAGTATTATTATTATTATTATTATTTTGCGAGCTGGCGCGTGCGCGCGGCGCGCGCACTCTCACACCCTTATGCATAATCACACCCATACCCATGCTCACACCCACACACGCACATACACACTGATAGAGATGTACATAAATAGTTTTTTAACAATTATTTTCCCCTGCAGATGCTTTTAACAGTATTCTCTTCGGAATGAGCATGTATGTCCACTATGCCTTATGTTTTCCTTATAAAGATATAAAGATTGGAATTGATTGAAGTACAAAGCTTTTTCCATCCATCTGATGTACACTCCAGTCAAGAGGGGTAGTGTAAGGTCGTTGTGTAATTTATCAATGTCTGCACATATCCCCTATTGCTGTGTAACTTTGCACGGTTTCTTCAGAACCACTTTGATATCGGGGGGTCTTACCTAAATATAATGGTAGGCTTTTGCAACGCAGATGTGTGCAATTGTTGTTCATTGCAAGAAAAAAACGATTTAGATTTTGTATTATTAGTTTGTGTCATTCAGCATAGCCTTGTAGTCATACTTTTACATGGCATACCTAGGGTAAACTTGTTAGCTGCAGGATTGGCCAGCATTAGGCTTGGCTCTAGAGTTCAAATCTTTGACGATAACAATGGTGAATCGACCTTGGACCGTGCTAGCGGGGCGAAGCTAAGTGCTCAAAGAGTTGGCGTTTCTAGTCATTTCCTCGGCGCGGGATTCGGTTGCACCAGGCATAGAATTTC